AATGCTAGGAGAGATGCCTTTGTATTCCTATTGTATGAGCTTTTGGACTTGCATGCTAGTATGGATCAGTCAGTGATAGTATGGCCTGATTAGGTTATGCTTGGTTCTGATTACGTGATGCTCGAATGCTGCTCACTTTGTGCTTTTAGGAGTTCCCACTAGTTTCAGCTAGCTAGTAAGCGAATATGTTAGGTTTAATATTACTAAGACTAGATAAATTTAGAAGGTTAGATTTTAACTTTATTGCGAAGCTCTTGTATGAGTCCAACCGTTGTATTGTGAGACCTCTCATTCGAAGAATTATCTGATTTTGGTGATATGTAATTGTATTTGTGAGCAATATAGAGGAAGTTAGCGGGTGTTCCATCTGTAGCTGATGGCAGAGAGTGGTGTGGAGTTTACCCTAGGAAGAGATTTAGTGATGGGAGCCTTATATTGATGAGTGTTAATTGTATGGATATAAAGTGACTTGGCAGATTCAAGGCAATCATTGAGGAAAGTACGGATAGCTATGGAAGGTAGTATGGGCCCGTACTATATCCATACTCGAGCAAGGAGAGCTGCGATAAACCCAGGAAGCTTGTAGAGTTTGTGATCCCTCGATATATTTTTATGATATGTTGTACTGCAAGGGTGAGTACCATGATTATAGTTAATATTCACAAGTATTATGAGCTTTATGGGAAGTTGTTGGCACAAGCTTATATGTGAATGTATGTCATAAGCTTAATAAAAGCCTGTATGTGAAAATGCATAAAATGCCTTCTATGTGATTGAAGATATGTTGTACTCCAACAAAGAGTACTAGGAAATGTATCATGCATGTTATATATATGAGCATTATGAGAAGTTACAGCCACAAGTCACAATTAAAGGGACATAGTTAAAGGTCTTGAGAAAGGGGAAACAAGTAAAGGTTACAAGATAAGAGACACACTTACAGTGGGTATATATGTATGTTACCCTAATGGCACGGAATGGTGCATTTCTTCTAGGGCGAAAATATGCAGCTAGCATTGTACTGGCTAGGGGTATCAATTCCTAGTATGTGTTAGGACCTTGTTTGAAGATAGTTATGTGCTATAAATGTTAGACTAACTTTGTGCTAGTAATGTATGTCTACCTCTATGCTAGAATTATTATGAGTTGCGATACTATTATAAGATTTTTAAAAATCATACTCGATTATGTTGTTGGGATAAAACCCATGTAGCTCACGAGTGTTCAAAATTTGGTGTTTTGTGCTATGTACTCATGTATGGATCTTGGAGTTAGAGTGTGCTACTAGAAAAAGCCTACAACAGAATCATAAGAGGTTGACTAATCATTTCTCTTATACAGTAGTTGTTGGTATTATTTTGTAACACAGAATGTTGTGAACTCTGATAAAGAATTTGAAATTTGTAAAATCGTATTTTCATTACTATGAAAAGATACTTTAAAAGTACAGTGTTACACTTCCATTTCCTTTCATTACTATGAAAAGATATTTTAAAAGTATAATGTTACGCTTCCATTTCCTTTTAGTATATAAAAGACCCCACCTCACCCGTTTCATTCCTTCGGTTGTTGATCCGAGAAGTTAATGATTACGAAGAATTGATAAAGTCAAATAGTGAAGAACTTATTGACGAAGGTTATGTTTGAGATAGATGTTTGTTTTAGTTCTGTTTATTTTATAGTGAAAATTTTCAATGTAATGAAAATTTTCAATGTATTTAGTAACTGAAAATGAAAGAATGAAGTATTATTCATGTTTGACACAATTCCTCCCTTTCATGTTCATATCTTGGTGTAACAGGTCAAAAAAGATCAAGGCCTATAGCTAATCATATCCCTTCGGTTTACCAAAGATTGTAGAGGAGCAAAGGAAATCTGAGTTCACCCGAAGGTTGGAGTAATGTCTTAAAACTTTGTAATCTAGCTTCACACTAGTCATTTCCACTGATTATTTTCGTTGTATGGTAAATATAAAAATCTTGAGTTGAAAATTTTATAATATTTCAGATTTTTTTTTTTTTGAAAATGAATAGATTTATTATTATTATTATTATTGTTATTATTATTATTATATATATATATATATATATATATATTAAAGTTATGAAAGATTTTAACAGTAAAGTGACAACTTTTTTGTCAATTTTGGTCCTCCAACTTACAACATTGACCCTTCATCTTTATGCTTTTGTTCACAAACAACCCTTTCACTTTGGTTTGAATTTTTCATAACCCTCGCCTTTTATTATCTTCCTCAGCAGAAAACCTCCGATCTTCTTCTTCACCGATCCTGGCTACTTCATCGACCTCTATTACAGCCTCTTCTCCTCTTCTCGCCTGACCATCTTCTCTCCACTTTCTCCGACGTTTCTTCTTCATCTGAGAATCATCAACCTCCACCAAGTCCTACCCTACAAACCGAGTTTCAGGATCGTCGGCCCCCACCACCGAATCTGCTATTCGACTCTTCGATTCCGCTATAGCCGATGCCGGCAAGTCCGCTTCTACCACAGAAGACTCCGACGAGTTCTCTATATCTCTTCTTTAATGGATGTTTGCCGATTGCTTCCACTTCCCAATTTGAATGGCCGTCGGCTCTTCGATTTCTTATCGTCGGCGTTATGTTCTGTTCCGCTCTACAAATGTTTTCGTTCTGATTGCCCTTCATCTTATCTGTTTCCCAGGTGTTCATCGTTGTGGTTAGCCCCCCTTTAGAAATTGTCGTCGCCTCCATCTTCTCAGGTAGCTTAATGGCTTTTAAACCCTAATTGGTTGTAGATCTGTGTCTTACCCACCAATCATATATGTCCAATTGTGCGTGTGAGAGAACACATGGAAAACGGTCCAAATGGTTTATTCATTTGTGTAATTTTTGTTGAAATCTGGCCACATCTCAACGTCGTTGAGTACATCGTTTTAATTTATGTTGGATTTTGCTTACAGATTGCAAGAGGATGAATGGCAGGAAGGAGAAATATAGGGCTTCTTCCCGACAGAGTTTAAAAGAGTGCGATTCAAGCCGAGGAACACATCTGCACTTACAGAGCTTACTTTGCTTACTCTCCCCATGGTATCGATTCTCTCTTCCTCTCTTTCTGTCTACATGTTTGTACGTCAAATATGTTGTTGATCCACACCATAGTTGACCAATTTCTACAATTTCTCATCTATTTCGATTTGGAATGTAGGATTTGTTATAGCTTCTGATGACATGAGTTGCCATTGTGTACAGTAATTGAAGACTATTTTTCTTAACCTTAATTCCAACCACCACCACATAATTTTAGGGTTTCTTAAAGGTAACCTTGCTCTTTCAATATATGAATTTCTGTTTAAATTATTCAAACTTTTAATCAGTATATGAATTTCCTTTTTAATTATTTCGAGGATGACTTTCACTTTGCAGTACCTTAACAACTGCACTATTGAAGGTTTGCTAAACTAAAGTTTTTTTTGTTCATCTTCTTCTTAGGAACATGTCAGAAACAAACTTGATGCAGTTTATGAAGAGGCTGTAGGAAGAAGAGAGTTGCACTGAGTTGACAGTAAGAACCCATATCCATTCCTTATAGTTTCTATCTCAGTAGTCAACTATTCAATTTTTTTTCATCCATATTACCGTATTTAATTCTTATATTATCATGTGTTTCATATTTGATTTCTGTTATCTCTTGCACAAGTTCCGGAGGAGGTTGCAGGGGGTTTATAGAACACGCTACCAAATCTTCTGTTGAGGTAATTTTCAATCTTATGCTTTTAATTTGACGTAATTATTGACAACACGTGTTTTTTTTAGTACAAATTTAGAAAATTACATTGGTGCAAATTTACCTTTGTTTTCTTGGATCCTCCGTATGTTTCCACCTGCTCCAATTTATATGGAATACCATTACCATTCTGTTGTTCTTTTCTTTGATTATGATTCATACATATTGTTCTTTCATTTTCGTCAACTTTTTTTGCCCTTTATTCTGCCATATACAATGCACGGCAGGTGTTTGTTACTATTCCTGCTATTATATGGCCTACTTATCTATTGTCTGGGCATTACTACTCCATCTACTATACATTGAGTTGTATAATTACTAGAATTTTTCTTGCTTTATGAATCTTTGTAACCCAGTCCTTGTATGCATCCGGTGATGAAATCACCAAAGCTATCTATATTGATACATGCATCAGTAAAAAAAGACATGAAACATCTGCTTCCACAAATTCCATATTGTATCAAAATTGACCATTATTGTTAAAGCAAGTCACAGTCTTATTGGATTCTACTTGGTTCTTTTTCAACTGTGTTGTCCAAATAACTATTCAATCTTTTTCTTACCTCCGAGTTTTGACATCTGCATTAAGATGATCTTCATACTTTCTGTTAGTTGCAGATGGGAATAACTTTTGTCACAATTGTATCTGCAAAGGGGTATAAGATGAAAAAGCACACGGTGATTCCCTGTCTTTTTACCTTACTATCTTCGTATGCTCATTCGTAGTAGTTTTTGATGTTTGTATGCAATTAAACAGCGCCCATTTAAGTATAGGCTGAAATTTTCATTTGCAGATAAGAGTCTGATTTGTAACTTTCCAGTTTTTTTTATATTTTTTTAACTTTCCAGATATGATTTGTAACCTAATTTTTTTTTAGGTATCAGAGAGATTGATCTCTGTGATCTTGCTCAAAGTTGAATAAGATCAAAAACCATTTGATCGTTTTCGATTTGGGCAAGGGTGACCTTCTGGTGGTTATATGCATTTATTTTCGGGAAACTAACTAAACTAATCATGTTGTAAGTTAATAATAAAGAAAATATTCCAAAAATATTTTCGTTTTTGAAAAATAATCTTTAAGTGGGTCATTCCCGACTATTATGAACACCATAAAAAAAACTTCCTTGGACAATATAATACATTTCATTTTGATATTTCGGCGGGTTTCGTCACCTGACTCCGTTGTCCATTGCTGCAGCTGCTGTTGCTTCTTCTAACCGCTTTTGCACATCATGCGCCAACTGGTAGGTTTCTTTCCTTCATATCCATTTTATTAACCAAAAACCCCATTTGAATCAACTATTGTTTCAGAAACTGTGCCAATTAGGATTGTTCCTCTGTTCATCTGGGCTTCCTGCAGTTGTTGATGTAGCTGCAACTATTAAAGCTGGAATGTATGATATCAGTGAGTACATTTTTTTTCAATTACTTCTCAATTATTATTCAAAAATTAATAAATTGATAAATTGTTTTTCATTATTTATTATCGGATTAACTTATACAATTCCAAAACGTAATAAATTGATAAATTGTTTTCCAGTATTTTGACAATTTACAATTTTGCTTATAGATGTAAAATAACCAAATTAGATATCTCCCATATTATTGACTTTTTTGTTATTTAAATTAAGGGCAAAATTGTAATTCACCTTTCCCTATTTATAAGGTATCATCCCGCAATAAGCTAATAAACATTTTAAACAAGCAATTCGAAACACCCTCTAATTCATGTCATTCAATTGATTCTTCAACTTTTCCTATATATAATGTCGCATTTAATATAGACACTCTTTTCGTAAATCCATTCAAGTACTTATCCCTCAATGCCCAACATAATGTCAAAAAACCAGTCTACCAACTACGGTATATTACACAAATACCCCTCTCAGACATTTTCTTTTAAATCTTGGGCTTATGATAAAGTTTATATCTTTTTTTACTTTAACAAACAGAAAACCAGATTGAATATAGCTACAACTCATGTTGAGGTAAAAAGCACATCTGAAAGTCATTTTCTTAAATCATATGATACAATATTCATGATGATAATTTGTTGTTATATTTCCTTTTATATTCTCAGATGGATTCGTATGATGATAAATAACCTCATGTCAAACACACAACCACTCTTCATGGGTATGGTATACAATATTGGTATTTTTCATTATATTTTTTCAAATTCTTATGATGATTATAAATATTATGTATGTGAATTTTTACAGTTTACACATAGGAGTAGTTAGTAGAGTTTTGTTGTCAGTTATATACCGCCCAAGAAGCTTCTGAAACTCAAGGCAATCTATAATGTGGTAATTAATGAAACAATAACGTACTTACATGTCTCTACAAAAACAGCAATGTACTTGAATTTTGCTACCAATATGGGCATTGTACTTTATATACTATAATTTTCTCTAAATAATTATTGTTTTTGCTTAGTTATTTCTGCCACGTGGGCTTCAAGTTGACAAAACCAGCAACTTTAGCTTTAATTTAAAAAAAATGGCAATTGGGAAAAATGGTCCCAAATTTTTTTTTTTTTTAATAATAAATAACATATTCTCGATGGATAATGGTAGATATTGTAACCTTTTTATTAGTATGCACAATTGCATCCAACAAAAATGTCAATTCGATAATAATAGAAAATATGTTCTTTTTTTTCTTCAGGTTGCTTTATTCAAGTTATGAGGAATGAGATTTCGACTCGAAATGTTTTTACTATCAACTAAAAGTGTTAAATGCAAAAAACAGCAACGTACACTAATTTATTTGATTACTTTCATTTCTTACATTAGGACATTGTACTGTTCAATCTATCCAGCTATATTGTATTTGAATGACATTATAGCATCCTACTTTTGTGACCCGCCAAAAACCAATAAAAAAGATCCGACCCGTGCAACGCACGAGCCTCATTTCTAGTATATATATTAAAGTTATGAAGAATAGTAACAGTAAAGTTGCACCTTATTTGTCTCTTTTGGTCCCTGTAGTTGCATTTCTTATTTCTGTAGTTGTAGGTCTTATGTTTTCCTTGTATTTGTCACTTTCTTATTTTGTTTCCATTTCTTTGCTGTATCCGTCACTCTCTTATCTTCTTTCTATTCCTGGTTATTGGTAAAGATATTTGTATATAATATTTTTTTAATCTCTTTCCTGCTTCGTGTCAAATGTTTGTGCTTTCCACGTTTTGTTCCTGATCCTTCCGCTCACTTTATCTTCCTCAGCACAAAACCTCCGATCTTCTCGCATCTTCTTCTTCACCGATCCTGACTACTTCACCGACCTCTATTTGGGTGTTCTCTCCTCTAATTCCTGCTCCGCCAAACTTCTGCGTTGCTGAGATAAAGAGAAAAATAAAGAGATAGAGGCTATAAATCGAACCACCAATTCCTTCATCGGCTCCGTTGTTGAACTTCTGCCTTACTAAAACCCTCGCCGCTCCATCGACCCACCACCTGTAGTACCGCTTCTGATTATAGGACGAATCGGTAGAGTCGGTGGTTCTACCGCCATCGCCCTCTCTAACTTCTCCTTGAACCTTTTCCCTTTATCTACTTTCGCTTCTTTTCGTTGCTTTTTGTTGATTTGGGTTTCAATGATTTGTCGGTGCGAGCCAGCCTCTCATAAACCGTCGTTGATTTCAAACATCTCTTCCCTCAAATACGAAGGGTGATAGTCGTTTTCCAGTTCATTTCAAATACCGATTTTGGAAGGTATGTCTTCTCTTTTTTATTTCCCCGTCCCTGTTTGTTCTCCTTCATCATCGCTCCTACTCTTAATCGATTGCCTCTTCCACTGTGTTTTCTTGATTTCGATTTTGGGATTAACGGATTGTATTTCCATTTGGGTTCAATTGTTAAAATCAATATTCATATTTACCTTAGTTAACTTCTTTTCATTGCTTTTTGTTGTGTTGGGTTTCATTCGCCTAACTGGTTGTGCTGTTGGATTATTTAGGGGTGCTGATGCAAATATTCTACCTAGAAGGTGTTTATTGGTTTCTCTTTCTGTCTTCATTCGTTAATAGTTGAACATGCATTTATTTTTCTATTATGATCAAGTTTTCATTCGTGATTTTATTCCTTCTGCTCTTGCATTCTTGCTCGATGGAGGAGAGATTGTGAAGAACTTTCTGTTCCATACTCTCCAATTGCAGGTATTCACTGATTTCGTTTCTTACTCTTTAAGAATATTTCTTTTTTGGTTAATGAAGTTGTAAGTTTTTAATAAACATGCCACATTATATGTCCACATCAGCCTTGTGTCAACAAAAACCACAAATAATGTCAAACCATGATTTCATAGTTGAAGCATCTTTGACTTTTTTTGTGTTCTTTTGTTGCCAGAGTTTGGAAAAGACAGTTGACTCCCATAGACCTGGTCAAGGGTTGATGCCAGCAAGCTTTAAAGTTCGAAGTGTGGCTCTTGATGGAAATCCGGTGAATTTAAGGATGTTTTGGATCCTGATTTTGGTGAATCAGCGATTGGTCGTGTTGCACCCGTTCATTCCAGTAAATTCATACTTATTATATCATCAGATCATTTGGAATAATTTTTTCTAACATTTTGTTTGCATTGTTCTTATTGGTTGTGGTTAAATACATATTACTGTTCACACAACTATTTAATTTCATTTTATTTTACCAATATATGCAACTAAATGGACTCACCTGCTTCCAAATGGCATACTGAATTACTGATTTATGTGATGAGATGTTTCTTGATGTAACTATGATTGATTGTGTTACTGTTTTGTGAGTAAAAGGAGAAGATGAATAGGCGGACACCATATGGCGATGCAACTGTGAACAGTTATGCTGCTTCTCAATCTCATGTGTCTGCACAGGGAATGCAACAACATGCTCACACACCTCAATTTCCATTTCGACACAGCAGTGGAATACAATTCTAAACCCAAAGATTAAATTAAATTCAATGTCCCCTCATTCGTATTCCCAAGGTATGTATTTCCTTCGATATCATGATACATGGCGGTATTAACCTTATATTCCAACAAACAGTTTTAACAATATTTCCACTGAAATAATTTATTGTTTTTTTTTTTTTTTTTTTTTTTGAAAGATGATGGTCGGGTGCTTTCTTTGGGGTATGGTAGACATGGATAATGAACAATGGTCTTCATATTGCCACCAAATCGAAGTAAATGAAATGTTTATATCTAACTTCAGACAAAGTAAATGACCATTTTACAATTTTTTTTTAAATGATGATGGATAATGAATGACTATTTTACCCTTATGTTTATAGGTTGTGGAGTCTAGAAGACATTAATTAAATAAGAATGGTAAAGATATTAAGAAAGTTGGTAAATGAATTATCATACCTTAACAACATCATGTGGTGGGTCATATACGATATAATTAGAATGATAGCATGGATAATTAATGATTAATGTGTGGTGTCGTCTTGTAGATGGCACCCTGAGTTATCTCTTACAAGAAGATGGACTTTGAATAGCTCTGTGTAGCATCCATCTGCACATACCAGTTGGAAGCACTACGCACATGGAACCACATTGAGTCGACATCATTTAACTACTTTGAACAGGACAATAACTGGACCGTCCCTGCCGAGGAAGCTGTTCGGGTATTTATTATTATTATTATTTTTGTTATTACTTATTAATTACTAACTATCAATTAATAATGATGATGGTGTAGGAATGTAATGTGGATCCCACAACACATTGCATCATCAAGGACCGGATTAGAAGCGATGATAAATTTTAACAAATTTTACTTTATATATATTTCCTTATACTTCCCGCTTTTATTTCCTATAAAGACTTTGCAAGTTTATATTTTTAATAAAGATATTCTAGGTTGATGGTCAAATAAGATTATAGCTTATTAAGACAATGTACTTTTATTGTATGTTGAAAGACTAAACATGTTCGTTTTTGGTTTTATAGCATCGGGCCGTTTTTGTAATATTTTTCTACAAAGGGACAATTTTGGTAATGTTTTTATGTCATAGGAACCAACTCTATAATCTTTTTATCAAAAGTGACTGTTATATAAAATAAATCTGCCACAAGGACCAATTAAGTAGTCAATATCTGCTTATATTTCCATTCATCCGATTGATGGCAAATTACATAGATTAGCAACATACTTCAATTTGGATACCAATTTATGCAATGTATTTCATTAATTGTCTCACACAACGAACACATTCTGCCCTGCGCAATGCGCGGGTAACCCCTCTAGTTATTATTAATATTATTGATCTCGGTTCAGAAGTAAATAAGCTAACCTTGGAGGCTATTTATCCAAAGTTAGCACCCGAGCTTTGTAACGTTTTATTTTTCATTAAAAATAATTAGAGTAAATCAGTAAATTATTGAAATCGTCCCAATGGTTTGGTCAAAATTACACGTTTTGTCCCTAATTTTTTTTTACCCTCGGATCGTCCATGTGGTTTGATTTCGTTGAGTTTTTCGTCCCTATGGTTAGGTAAAAATTGCACGTTTGGTCCCTAACTTTATTTGTGTAAGGGACGAAAAACGCAACAAAATCAAACCATAGGACGATCCAAGTGCAAAAAAAAATTAGGGACTAAACGTACAATTTTGACCAAACCATAGGGACGATTTCAGTAATTTATTCAAATAATTATTTCTAATGAATATGAGATAAGACTATTGCAACAATCATTAGATACAAAATTTGAATGCTTATTTTCATAGGAAACAACACAAAATTACATGATAACATAAGCTCACCAGGATTCAATATATATTGCCGAACATAGATAATCAACTTAACATTTATCTTACCATAACCTTCTTTATTGGTCTCCACATATATATATATATGTGCTTCATTGGCAAAAATGTGAGAATCCATAAGAAAGTTGTTAAGATTCAAACCTATATATCACGTTTTGTGATCTTTGTTCCGAATATGTAACTAGCACAACTTTCCCATGGACTAAGGTGTCTATCTTCAGGACAAGTACTAATTCCTGGATTATTAATAACACCCATTTGTTCTTTCCTAATCCTAGCCAAACAAGGCCAACTCCCAAAAAGATTTTCACACAACTCCACAACTTCTGGACTATATTCACATGGAGGAACCTGAACCACTTGTTTCCCATATCCGTAATCATACCCCACTCCAATTCCATATCCATGGTCATATTCAGGCCATGGATAGTCAAATCCATAATCAGGATAATTGCTTTCCTCCCTTGATTCTAATGGCTCGGCCATAAGAATCGGAACAGGCACCGGCTCCGGCTCCGGCTTGGGCTTGGGATTGGGCTCCACCAAAGGATCACTAGTAGGTTTAGGAACCGGAATATGTTGGGGCATAAGAGTCGGAACATGCACTGGCTCGGGTTTTGGTTTGGACATGGGCACAACCTTTGGATCTGGTTTAGGGTTAGCCAAAGGGATAGGATTAGCCACAGGCTTGGACTTCGACTCAACCGGCTTGGGGTTGGACCGAGGATAGCAGGTTTGATCAGAGGGAGGAAGAGGCTTTCCATAAACAGAAACAATATCATAACCACCGCCATAAGGTGTTGGATCATACTCTTCAAACTCTGGCTCGTTAAATTGTAAATCTGTTTCTGGGTAAGAGATCGAATAGTGTGTGTGATATGAGACATAGCCCGTATCACAAGAAACTGGTTCGTAAGCAATTAACTTAGGCTCGATATAGTTATATGCAAAGTAATTGATACCAGGAGTAGGCGATGAAAACGAGTACTCGTGATCATAATGATAGTCATAATCTTGAGTGTGATGATAATAATCTAAAAATTGAGGTTCTTGAAACTCAGAAACAGTGTATGCATTATCAGGATGATAAGATTCATAACCAGAAAAACTTACGGAATCTTGGTAACCGACAACATTATAGGCGGCGTGTTCTTGAGGCCACATGTACCCATCATCGTAATAAGCCATTTTTGATCGATGAAAGGAGAAGATATCTGAGTTTTGGTTGTGTGGTGAGAAGGGATATGAAGTAACAATTATTGATCATGGAAAAGGGGTTAATTATCAGTGAATTTAGAGAACCCATTTATTATTACCGACTTCTACTTCCTTCATGATTGAGTTTGTATTTGGGAATTTTGTGTCTGTAAAAGTTTGGAAAACAGACAGAGATGGCGATCGGCCATGTGATATTGTTAGTGGGATATACAAGTTTCAACCAACCACTTAATGCTTATCTAGAAGAATAGGGAAATTGTACATTTCAACTACAATACAAAAGGATAAGCGGTTACTATTGCTACTTTTGGTTACTTGAAAAGCAATATGTTGTAAATTCAGTGAGACATAACAAACTTTAGGCGTAACTTTTTTTTTTTTTCAGTAAAGTTCTAAACGTATCCTGATTTATTTTTCTTTCTGAAAAACATATTAATCGAAAACTGAAGCTTATAGGATTTGATCGTTGGGCAAATCCATCTTCAAGAGTTCAAATTCAAGTGATAGTCCAATATTTCAACGACACCTTTGTGGTGCCTTAAAAACTCATTTTAGTAAACTGGTTTTAGGTTTTAGTCGTAATTAAGAACAGATAATGATAATTCATTTGGGTGACATTATGCGAGACTTAAATGAATCTATATGCAAATATTGGCGTCATTTCTTGGAATTAGGGACCGAATTTGTAATTGATACTTAACCAATACAAACGGACACAAGATATATGTAATTTCTTAGACAAAAATGTAAAAATGATTCATGCCATTGAAAATTGTGATTTTGATTAAAAAAATTTTGGACTAATACCATTGGTTCAAAATTTTTATTTTGTTATAATTTTGGTCCAAAATTTTTTAAAATAATAGGTTTTCCCTTTTAATTTTGTTTTTTCCTTTTCTTTATATTTCACCAATTAAAAAAAAAAAAAAAAAAAAACTAAAACAAAAACCACCTAACCCCACCCTGTAACGCCCGGTTCCCGGTACGTATTTTTAATTTAAAGAATTTATGTTTTAACACTAGGACTCGGCGAGTTGGAGGCCCAACTCGTCGAGTAGACAAGACTTTGGACGCGAGTTTTAAGTAACCTACTCGACGAGTCGAGAGCCTGATCGGCGAGTAGGACTGTCTGGATGAAACCCTAATATTTAGGGTTTGCACCCTATATAAACAACTTAACTCGTCCCAAACCAGCCTCTATCATCCCTCCCAACTCAGAGAAACCCTAACCTTGTTTGAGTTTTCTTGAGCCATTTTTGTGTGCTTGTGGTGATTGTGAAGCTTGAGAAGGAAAAAGGAACTTGGGAGATCAAGTGAGAACAAGTAGATCCAGAAGTTTTGGCACATTTCCTGCTCATTTAGGTATAAAGCTGATACCTTTACTATACATTACTTAGATATTGTTTTGCGGCTATTTTCTACCTTTTTCTAAGCTTTAGTAAAGCTATACTCGGATTTGGGTGTATACTTAGAGTTGTACTTCAGATCTGGAACCATTGAGGGTTCCCATGGCCTAAAGATGCCAACTTTATGTCCATGGGAGACCCATGCATCATATAAACCCCATTTTATAGCATTTTGAGCCAAAAACCTCATGCATGGACATCAAGTTCGTAGCTTTACGTATAAAATGGACCCTAGGAGGTCAGATCTATGATTTTGATACATTAAGACCCACTGAAATCGACTATATAGTTTTGGACAAAAAGGGACTCGGCGAGTCGCTTGGGTGACTCGGCGAGTCGCTTGGGTGACTCGGCGAGTCGGGTCGCAGTTTCCCCCAAACATCTTCTAGAAATGGTCTTTGGTTGAGTTGAAGGAAAACTCAGTTTGTTGGGGTTAGTTATGGACTTGATGATCGAAGCACTCGACGAGTGCAAGGAGGAACTCAGCGAGTTCAAGGCAATGTCCCAACCATATGAAGACGGACTCAACGAGTTCAAGGAGAACTCGGCGAGTAATAGACCGGACACATTCATACGGATGGAGATGAACTGGATGAGTTCAAGGATGAACTCAGCGAGTCGGTTGAAGATGGTCTCGGTGTTATGGTTGAAGGAGAACTCGTCGATTTCTTGATAGACTCGACGAGTAGAATCGGGGTTGTAGCATTTTGTAAGGATAGGGACTCGACGAGTTGGTGGACCAACTCGGCGAGTCGAGTCAACTGGATGTTGACTTTGGCCAAAGTTGAGTTTGTCTAGGGTTTGACTTTGACTTTGACCTGTACTTGAGTTGACCTTTGTAAGGGAGGGTTGTGAGTATGAATTAGTAATCGAGAATGTAACATCCAGATTTTTCAGGAATAGTATGGTGTATTTTAATTTGAGGATTTGTGGAGAGACTCGACGAGTTGAGGGTCCAACTCGCCGAGTCAAGTCGAGATATTCGCATGGAATTAATGAGTGGACTCGACGAGTCGGGAAACTGACTCGCCGAGTAGATGTTGGGCAGAGAAACCCTAATTTCCCGGGGCTGGGGCCTATATAAAGAAACTTATGCCCCATTTCCGCCTCATCAGTTACCCTACACCCCTGATAACAAACCCTAATTGCAATTTGAGCTAGAGAGTGAGAGAGAAGCTCACTTTGAAGTTCTTGTGCATCATTTGAGGAAGAGGAGGAGGTTATCAAGCAAGGAGCTGGAGGAGAGGTTGTTGGGTCCAGTGATTTCTTGTCCAGAGCTCTTGAGGAAGGTATCAAAGTCTTCACCTTTCCTCTTATTTTGGATAGATCTCATATCTATGGAGTTTTAGGGCTTTTTGCCATCTTTTGTTTGGGTCCTTGAGTAGCATGATTTATCAAGAAGTCTAGACCTCAGATCTGGACCTTGTGAGGTCCCTAGAGTCTAGATGTCCCATCTTTATTCATCCATATGAGGGTTTTTGGGCTTAACAATTCATAAAGGGCGTGTATTGGCATTTTGGAGCAAATACATCATGCATGAACGTAAAGATCGAAGCAATGGGTCTGAATGAACTCGCTGAGTCGATGAGCCTACTCGACGAGTTGGTTAGGGTTTGTCTCGGAGAGCCGAATCATGCGATAGCTCGGTGAGTTGGGGGTCAACTCGACGAGCTGAGATGGACTTCCACGAGACTTCAGAGAATGAATGGACTCGACGAGTCACAAGGGTGTACTCGGCGAGTCGGGTCAAACATGGACTGTTGACTCGAGTTGGACTTCTGTTGACTTTAGGGTTTGGTCAACATGAGTAATGGAGACCATGGAGGGGTAAAATGGTCTTTTACCCAATCCAAGAGTTAGAGAGAAAAGGATAACATGTGGTTACTTAGAATCGAGAATCGAGTATTAATTATAGATATTTACCCTATGTGTTAGGCGGTGGCTAGTTCGAGATTCGATTTCGAGGATATTTGCTTGCTTGTTCGCAAGGTGAGTCTTCTCACTATACTTACCTAGAGTGGTGATTGAGCTATTTTATGTGTTTATCTGTGTATTGTGATATCCTGCATTATTTCTTTGTGATTTATGTTGTGTGTTACTCAGAGTTTACAGAGTTAGGACCGGAGGGTCCACCAGAGTTGTGGGACTGGAGGGTCCCACTGAGACACATTGACCGGAGGGTCATACAGAGTTATAGCCTCGAGTGGCTAAAGATTTGTATGTGGTATTTTGGGAAACTCACTAAGCTTCGTGCTTACCGTGTTATGTGTTATGTGTTTCAGGTTTTATCACATCGCGGGAAGGCGCCGACTTGATTGTACACACCAGAGAAGGAGCTAGATTTTGAGGATCCTGGATTGTTAACTAAATAATTATGGAGTTGTATTTGGTAAATTAAATAAATGGGATCTTTGTAAAACGCATTGTGAGAATTATGTGATTTTAAACGAAAAATTTGTTTGAAAATTTACGGTGTTACAGAGAAGGGCTGTTGTGTAGGCATTGAGGAGTTGAGACGAGTGGATTTCCGTACCGAGGACTGTGCAGACACTACACGACATCGAGGTGAGTTACCTTCCGATAGAAGTGGGTCTACGGCCACAATGCTCGCCCACTAGTAGGAGTTGGTTGATAGATGATTTTCTTTGTGATAATTATCTAGGTTTTCTACTACCTGATACGTCTTATGTGTTTAGCATGTTGTGTTATACGTGATAGTGGTAGTAGGGGGGATTAGTCCCGATTACAGGTTGCAAGATACCGAAGGGGCCGTTAGAACCCATGCATGTTTAGCGGTATGTTTATGATATGTTGTTATGTGGTAGTGCTAGGGGTGAAATAGTCCCCAGTTACCGGTTGAAAGATACCGATGGGGAGGTTAGCTCCCGATTACCGGTTGAAAGATACCGAAGGGGAGGTTAGTTCCCAGTTACCGGTTGAATGATACCGAAGGGGAGGTTAGTTCCCGATTACCGGTTGAAAGATACCGAAGGGAAGTCCAGCTTCCGATTATGCCAGTCAGATACTGGTTGAAAGATACCGAGGGATAGGCAATATATGTTTATGGTATGTGGTATGATTGGGGGAACTCACTAAGCTTCATACTTACAGTTTACAGTTTGTTTCAGGTACCTCTTCATCAAAGGGGAAGGAGCCGATATGGTAGCAGCTAACGCACACACTCGATTTCCGCACTATGACATTCTTGGGATTGTACTCTGACATATTTATTATTTCATGACATGTTTTTATGAAAATTGTCTCATGGGTTATGAGTTGATATGATATTGATGTTGCTTTTCAGTAAACAGTTTTAATAAATAACTTAATCAAAAACGAAATTTTTGGTTTAGAGAATTGGGATGTTACACACCCCACCCTTTCCATATCTACCTTCTCTCTATCTCTCTCTCTCTCTCTCTCTCTCTCTCTCATTTTCACAAAACCGGAGAAGACAGCCACAACACCGGCGATCGAAGCTTCCGACGGTTGAGCATTCCAGCAGAGAGGTTCCAGGTTTCCGGTGGATCTAAAGGAGTGCGAAGATCAGATACGACCACCACCATTTATTAAATGTTGTCTGGAGCACCGTCGGAGGTCCGAGTCCTTGATTTTCTTGAAACATACATGTGTTCGAATGGCGGTGCTATAAGTCGAGGGTCGTAGAAGATTAGAGAAGGTAGACATGGCAAGGGTTTTCACGAAGCCAAGGTAAGGGTTTCGAATGGTGGCGAGCTAGAAAGTGTACTAGTGGCGGCGATGAAGAAGTAGATCAGAAAACCGTCAGCAGCAATGAAATCGACCTCATCGATGGAGGTTTGTTGACACACCGATCGTCTCTCTCATTCTCCTTCTTCGACTCAGATCGACGGGCACCGCCTTCTTCACCGGCTTAGACCAACAAACACCACCTTCCGGCGGCGTTTAGGGTTCGCCATCTATAAGATCGACGAGGTTTCCGGAGGAGATAGGTGGCGAAGCTAGGGTTTCCAATACGGATCTGGATCTGTTCGTCGTGTATAATCCCCTCAAAAACACTGAGTCGTTGGAGCCACGAACATAGAGTCGTTAGAGCCGAAGTTGCCAAAACCCTAGCTCTTCAGATCTCGGTAGGTGGTGGCGGGGACGATGGGAATTGAAGGTGGGGCTGGAAATTGTGTTATTGTCAGATCTAGAATGCTCCTTCTCCGACGACGGATACCTGGAAGGCAACGAAGCCGACGAACATCGACGGCGGTGCTGTGATTTGATGAAGGTTACGATCAAGCCGGAGATGACAAAGGATGTCGTCGGTTTCGATGGTTTTTGACGTAAATGGTGGTTGTAGCGGTGGTTTTGGTGGTTTCCGGCGAAATATGATCGCAGTAGCGACAATGGTTTTCGGTAATGACAATTGTTACCGCTATGATTTGTCTTTTATTAAGATGTCCTATTGTTACAAAATTGGTCCCTGTCACCCACATACACCCTATAATCTCTACTTCAAACATCCAACAACCACCATCATCTCTGGTACTCTGGCAACCACTTTCACCTCTGAAACTCAGGCAACCATCACTGTCATTGTAGGCTACCTCCAACATTCGCCTTAGGTACTACCTTGATAAGAATTTTGTAATCGAAGTACAACTCCCCAATAATTGATCAAATTAATTTTAATATTTAAATGGAGATACAGATTTTCATTTATCTACACAAATTTTTTTTAAATTCATTTATTCGATTAACACTAAAGACGTAAGACGTAGATCCAAACCCCATAAGGAATCATTTTGTAAACAAAAATCCATATTCATCTAACATTCAACATCCACAATACATGAAATATCAAAAAACCTAATCTACTTTTGTCGAACAATACCTTAGATCATGGCAGATTTGAGTGTGAATCAGTCGAAAATCGTCGGTAATCAAGATCCTTCCAATTTGAAAAATTAAGAAAGCATTGATGCAAGCACACTGCACCTACGCCCGTTTCAGCCATCGATTATCCCATCTACTCATCGTAACATCCTTCGACTTGTCCAACTCCTTCCCAAGCACCTTTCTCATCAATCCCTTCAACCTTGCATTCCTAAGTTCCCCCTTATCGAACTCATCAGCAACCATATACCTTAAATTATTCGTATTTGAAACCTCTAGGTTGTAATATACTTCAAGCTTCTCCACGTCGTTATCAATTTTGACGCCAGAGAAGATGTAGGAAAGTTGACGGAGTGCCGGAGATGATGGTGGTTGTCGAATAATTGTGGGGTAGATGTGGGTGATAGGGACCATTTTTGTAACTATAGGATATCTTAATAAAAGACAAATATATAAATAAAAAAATGTGAGGAAAAAAATATAATTTTACTGCAGTTAGAGTTTACGATGGAGGGACCATTTATATAATTTCGAAATAACATAAGGACCAATTTTATCCATTTTATTGATGTTGGACTATAGATGTTTATTATGCCATACCACAGGGACTATTTTGTAATTTTCTCTTATATAATTTAACATTTATGATATTTTGTTTTATTGTTTCAAAGTCAAATCACGTAATAGTGTTTTAATTTTTTTTTGTTTTTTTTCTTAAAATTACATGGTCTTTAATGTAGTAAAATTACAAAATAATAATCCTTTTGTCATGCAAATATTATAGATAGCTATGTAATAATCCAAAATAGTACTTGTATATTAATGTTATGAATATGACATGTGTAATAGTTTAAAACAAAAATATATAAATGATTTGTTTGCAATTGTAAAACTAGAGCGATTACCGCGCGTTACGACGTACAAAAATGTTGTGGTTGGTGTATTTACGGTTTGGTGGGGTACCCGTGTTTCGAAATTTAGAGGTATATTGTTATAATCTGGAAAAACGATAACATGAGTTTCAAAGTTGCAGGTCGAAATAGATTGAAATGAGATTCTATAAAAGATCAAATATAAAAAAAATTTAGATTCTAAATTTTACAAGTAAACATTGTGTGAGTGTCATGGTCACATGTCATCTACATTGAATGAGCAAATCACCAATATGAATTTGCAAATTACTTTACCAAGATCCTTAATTATAGCAATGTGCTTAAAACATTAGTCATAATGACAACCTAGTTTCAGTTTAGTTTCGGATCATAGCAACGTAAGTGTTGTAGGACAATAAAATAGACAAATATATATATATATATATATATATATATATATATATATATATATATATATATATATATATATATATTGTGACATCCCTAATTTTATGGTCAGAAAAACCGATTTGTTTATGCTTATTTAAATCAGAATATTCTTTTCAAAAGAGTAATAATGCGGAATTTGTTACGAAAAACATGACAATATCATTATAAAAGCATTTCCGAGGAAATATGTTTCATTTATATTTCAAAACCTTGGGATGTCATGGTCAATACAACAACATAAGCATAAACGTAATATTATAGGCCTTACAATAGTTTATTATTCTATTGGCCTATTCTCCTTTAAATCTCACTCCATATTTAAAGTTATCACACCTGTGCTCTTACGCTGCTACCTGTGATACAAATAAACTGAGTGGGGCAGGCTTGGGAAAGTCTGATGAGCATATAGGGTTTTCAACCCACAATATATAATTAATTTGTTTTAATTATACATTTCACCATAAACAAATTGTTGGATAAAGTGTCTAAGTCCATAACTATATTTGGTATGTACTTGATCCGACTTGGCATGGTCCATTTGGGTTGCATTGCATCACAACAATTGGATAGACAAAATGAGAAAAAGGACACTTATGATTTATTAATATATTATAAGTTCTAATATATTAATATGAAATCATATTATTTAATTAGTATTGATCAAGAATTAATTTGGAATTAATTTTGTGATAAAAAGAGACTAATTAAATATATAGGGATTGATTGTGTAAATCATTCATTCTTATATAGTGGGCTTATGATCCATGGTTCATAAGATTGGGCTAAACCCATAAGGTGCTCCATGGATGCTCCATGGAGGTTAAAACCCATGGATCATGGAGTAAGTGAAAGGTCATGCACATTAGGTTTTGCATGGTGTAAGCCTAATTGCATGACACTATATAAGGAGCTTCATATGGAGCAAAATCGGCACTAAGACTAAAAGAGTGAGAGCTAGACGAAATTTGCATACAAGTGTTCAATTATCAAGTTATTTCAAGAGTTTTGGTGTTCTGTGAAACATTTGAGGCATCACACTTGGGGTGCTAGGCTCACAAGGTCTTAAGGAATCAAGCAACAAGAAAAGGTATGTCATTCTACTAGTTTTACATTACATATACCTCATGATATGCTAGATAGGATGAAACCTTGGAAAAATCAATATTTGCATGTATAATAGAGAAAACATAGATCCAAGGTTTCTAGGGTTGCATGTACACCATAGGAGTGTTAGAATGCTCAAAACCCAACAGTGGTATCAGAGCCTAGGCTTGTTTTCTGTTATATTGCTGTTTCTATGTGATTTTGCAAAGCTGGAATGTTGTCTGACAGATCAACTTGCCGAGTCCATGAACAGACTCGACGATTTGATGGTTTTATTCATGGACGCGACGAGTCTGTTCTTGCACTAGGCGAGTCTGATGAACAGACAGCATGCTGTTCGAGTTTCTTTGCCATAATTGGGTTAGGATCATTACCTGTAACTGTTTTCAATCATTTAAACTATTTTTTATGATATGGTAATCATTATCCTAATCTAATTACAAGGTAATTGTCATAATTTCAAGAATAGGATTAATATGATTATGCTAATGTATTGAACTTTGATGATATGAATTGTCTTGCTTCTTGTCACACCCCCAAACCGGAACGACAGAAACGTTTGGGGGTGGAGGACGTCATGTGTAGTATCACAACAATTACATCATAGTAATCAAAGTAAACACAACCATTACATTGATTAAGTAAAATATTTACATCTGTTTGATTCATGTTTATATACATCAAAAAGTATAACAAAAGTAAAAAACGTGACTCCATATGCTCCGCCTTCTCTAAATCTAGGTGAGGTACCTGTGTACTGATTTCCTGAGAATACAAGTAGTTTTGAAAGAGTATCAACATAAAGCTGGTGAGTTCATAAGCATGTTTTTGTAAGGGAAATCCGTTAATGAATCAATTAAAATAATTGTATGTTCCCAAGAAAATCCATTATTTTCTAACATGTGTATTTTTGTTATTAAATCTCCTAATGTATAGTGTATATGTCTAGTTACCATTGAATGTGTTGTGCATTGTTGTTCTGAATGAGAATCCTTTTTCATGAAAGACCCTGGCTATGACCAGTATGTATAGTAAGTTTGGAATGCTATGAATACTCTAATATGTATAGTAGTTCTATTACTTTATAATAAAACTAATTGAAGTTATTACCATTCATACTTTAACCGTATATTCTTAGTACAAAATTTATGAGTTGTTATAACCATACTTGATCGTTGGATTGCCTGAACGACGCTCTTCAGGCGTCGGAATCAAAATGACTTTGTCCCCCAGGCCTACCGGCCTAAATGTAGCTAACAGTTATGGTGTAGGATTGTCAATCTCGTATGGATCTATACACAAACTCACGTTCTCCCGCAAGGAGACTCTGGTTACAATCTCAGGACTTTTGTTAGTACATAAGTAAGTACACGAAGAATGCTCACTCATAAAATGCTATACTAACGATTAAGTGTAGAATAAAATGAATTCTTGAATTTAAATAGCTGAATATATGTCTCATAAACTATACTCTATATATCTTATATGTTTGATCACATTGAATCTATGTTTGTACATTAATAAGATAGTTATCCCATAAACTATACCTATTATAGTTTATATGTTCGTTAATGTATCCATGTCAAACACTGAAAAACTCTATGAATTATGTTGAAAACCTCCCTTATGCTCCGCAATATACAAAAGGGATGAAATATCTGTATATTTGATAAAAGTATGAAAATTGTGTGGTTGTGCCAATTGCATCAGTTCTAAGTGTATTGAAATCCTTTTTGTATAATTTCACAAGATCGATGATGTTTGGCTTGTATTTCCCCCCTGAAAACGTTAAAACTGTAAATAAATAGGAGTATGAACTCACTTGACCGTGAGTAACTTGGATGAATGAGAAGATGCTTGGTATACTAAGTGAAGTCCCGAGCACAGTACGCTCCTATTAAGCATAGATTAACATGTACGGGCCAACAATTAGTGTCTAAAACCACCAACAAGCATAAAAAACAACCTTAGGATGTACGAAACACTTACAATCAAGTTTTAGAACCTAGAATGAAGGACAAGAAAGTGTAAACGGCCAAACCACCATGGGTTCACGGCCCAGCATGTGTTCACGGCCCATGAACACATGAAGGGTTTACGGCCCAAGATGTGTTCATGACCCAAGAACACATGAATACTTGAAGGGTTTTTGGCCCATTATGAAGGGTTCACGGCCGTGAACTCTTGAACACCATGAAGATGGTGATGAAAAAGTGATGAATCAAGGCTAGAATCAAGGGGTTTCTAAGCATGAACAAGAAAGGGATGAAATACTTATGTTTTGAGGTTTTTAAGAGTGTTCATGGTTGAAGATAGTTGAGAGAGAATGGGGATGTTCACGGCTGGAGCTTGAAGAAATGAGGAGAAAATGTGTGAATCACACACACACACACACACACACACATATATATATATATATATATATATATATATATATATATATATTAATATATATATGGAGGGTGGTTCACGGCCTAAGCATGGGTTCACGGCCGTGAACCTAGTTTGCGGCCGTGAACTCCCTTTGAAGGTGTTCCAGGCTCGATTGCAAACTACAGATTCCAAGATAACGCTTCCCAACATTCAACCCTTGAGTGCACTTGGATTAGAGACTCTCAAACTGACCTTAAACACCGTAAAACGATAGTGAAAACAAATCTGACTTTTATTGGACGAATTTGATTTATAGATAAAGATTTCGGGTTGTCACATCATTCGCCCGATAAAGGGAATATTTTTGAGCAAGATATATCTTAATTCGGCAATGACAATAAAGACCTATAATGATAGCTACTATCATTAACAAGGAATTGCAGGTCTTTCCATTATAAGGATTTGTACTAGTAGCGATGACTTTGTGCAGTGTTATAGTACCATAAAATACTTCTATAGTATTTTAACCATGTATTTTCATTAGCACAAGATTTGGTGAGTTTTATACTTGTCGCGACACCACAATCACTCCCAAACACATGTTGGTCATATCTC